CATATCAAGTTAATCCAAAAAGCAGGAAAGTTCCTGAATTCCAACTTAATCCATACTCCCTCCCTTGCAAAACCAGCTTGGCAAGTTTAAGTGACTGAGTCTTCAAACCGCTGGAACAGATCTAGCAACGCTCAACAGCTGTAAGTTCAGGCAGCTTCCAATTTCTAGGTCCAGTGTTCAACAAAATTTTCAGGTGCTATGCATAATAAAGTCTCTACGTCCAAGTGAATTCAGTAGTGCTGACTAGGGAAGGGGGAGCTCGAGCACTCCTGCAGTAAGCAGGGGTGGGGAGGCTGGGGATGCCTGGCAAAGGCTGCTGCCCCGCTTTCCCTCCAGGCACACCCCAACTGGAGACTGCAGGCCAGGGTGGGGGCTTAAATGCCTCTCCAATCATACTCAGCACCTTCTAAGGCCTGGCCACAACCCCTCGCACAAGCTCAGCTTCCCTCCAGCCTTCCAGCCACTGCAGAAGGGAAGGGAAAGATTGCTCTAGCATCCCTAGCTTCTAACCTGGGCCACTGCAGGCATGTAGTTGCATTTCCAGAATCGAAAGTGAATGTCTATTCAATTGCTTCTCAGTTCAATCTATGCAGGTTAGACTACTATTCAGTCTGTGCAATCTACTGCAAAGACTGAATCTATTCAGGCTTGGGCTTTTGAATGTCTGTAATTAGTTCAGAAGTTTTTTCCAGAAAATCAAAACATGACATATCCTTTTATGGCATCAGCTAATTCATATGCAATATGGGAAATTCTTTAAAAAAAAAGTTATCGACTTTAAGCTACAAAAAAATACACTGGAACTCATCTAAAGATGCAGACAAGCACTTTGTGAGATTTTTTTTTTAAGTGCCTATAGCTCTACAGCATAAAAATAAACCTGGTTTAGTACCCAGTGAGGCAGAATACCATCTCTGTCTCTCCCCAAACTCTGCTACCTGACAATTTGGTTACCATGGCCGCTGCAAAGGGCAGACTCCTTTGTCCCATCTCTTCATGTAACCCTGAGTAGTAACCTGACCTGGATACATTCCTGAGGGAGGAGGGAAAACTCCTCCTTCTGCCTACAGGACTGACATCACATACCTGGATGTGGGGCTTAAGCTCCCTATTGTTCTCAGTAATACCAACCTGACTGGGAAGGGGCTAAAGACTCTGCCAGTCTACCTGGCAACCAGTGATGCATTTCAAATTGGTTGGCTGGCAGCCAACAGTTGCTGGCCTTCATTGGATCAGGTAAATGAGGTCATAAGTTCTATAGAAATTAAGGATTGCCCAGGAGGAGGGGCAGTAGCCATGATGAAAACTCTCAGAGAAGCTGGACCATCTGAAACTTGCTCTCTCTCTTGAAACTCAAGATCAGTTAACTGTCTGCCTCCAGAGGGAATCTCCACCTGCCTCTGAATTATACTTGTAAGCTATCTGAGATCTAACTAGGTATATAGCTTGCAGTAACTCAGACTCATGATCAAAGGCTACCCAGCCACCCTGTTTGCCCTGTGGGATTTCTCTGATATTGCTCTACCTGCACCCTATTCCAAACCGACTCCTTGTAACCAATCAAGTTGTCCATTGTGCCTAGTGTGGGCGACTTAATGGGCATGGTTCTAGATTATGCCTTGGGGTCCACTTGGTTTGGCTGACTAAGGAAGACCACTCTTTGTGCTTCCAACTGAGGGAAGCACCCCAAGTTCTTGCAGTGCATTAAGTACCCTCAAGGACTACTAGGCCTGTGTTTCCTAGGGGACACAGGATCAAGATCAGCCCAGATCCTGGGTGGTGGCACTTTACCCCCAGTCTAGCAGGTGTGCTCCAGGAAGGGGTCGGCTGGACATGAAGCACCCTCAGGGAAGTACTTGGAGCCTAGAAGGTGATCAGGCGCAGTGAGGTGGGTGGCTCAATGCAGGAGTACCCCCTACTGGCTCACCACACCTAGTCCCATTTGAACCCCCCCCACCCAAAGTAGCACTTTTTTGCCTCTTTAGGTGCTTAACTATCTTTAAACAAGTCTGGATGCTGTTGCTTTAAGAGTTCCTACTATCATACTTGAATTAAATTGTCAAATGCAACATACAGAAAATTAACAAAAGCAAAATGAAAAAGAAGTTGTAATATGCAAAGGACTTGTATGCCTATATACCAAAAAATGAAAAATAAATCAGCTGCAACAATCAGTTGTTAGCTAGGACCAGTTAAGCAGACTTCACTGCGTTTTTCAAAGGTATATACCAAGATCAATCTATAGCTATAGAACTCAGTGATACAAACATGTTCATTAGTAATAGTATTAACATGTATTATGTTTCATAATTAAAAATATAAATATTAAGTGAGAATTTCTCTTCATACACAGCATACTCAGAAGATATAATCATATATTCATAGTTTC